TGCCCCCTCTTAGAACCTTTCCCTCTCCCTAGTCCCAGCGTGCTGGTAGCCCCTCCTCCTCGCACCTGCCCCAAGGGCAAGGGACAGGTAAGAGGTGGGAGTCGGGGACAGTGGGTGAGAGGGGAAGTGCAGGAGGAGGATGGAGTGAGAGTCCTGAAAATGGACTGATGGAGGAGATTCAAGAGCCTCCTGCTTCCTGGTCCCAGCTCTGACCTCCCTCTGCCCAGAGACCACAGCCCTATGTTAGTGAAAGTCCTGGCCACAGGAGTAAACAATTTCTTGTTTCACTTTTTTTAAAAAAAAGGGGTTGTCTAGCCACAGTGGAGCATAGAAAAACAAACGGAGAACTGGGAAGGGAGGAGCTGAGCTTCCAGCCCGGGGTGATGGGGCAATCTAGCTGTACCAGAGTGTATCTGTTTTCTGTTTCTGTTGTTAGGGAGGCAGCACAGACCAGTTGGAGCTGGGAAGGCAGGACATGGGGTCCCTGGGGGAGAAAGGATCTGCTCACAGTCAGCTCCCTGCACTCCACTGAGGAGCCACGGCCCTGAGCTGTGTGCCGGTTCCCGGAGGAAGGGTGTTTTGGTGTTGCCATGCATGGGTAGGGTCAGGGCAAGGGGTTCCACTGGCTGCTGTGCCAGGCACTGCATGCCGGGGGGGCCCTGCTACCTGTGTTTCCTGAACCCCTGAACTGCAACTTCTCCCACAGGCTGTGGGATGCATGCTGTCCTGTAGTCTCCACTGGATCCCGAATGCACGTCAGTCAGGGGAAGAAGGCAAGGGGTGCTGCTTATTGGAACGCCTTTATCGCCCGGTGCTCCAGGCTCTGCAGAGTTCTCCTGTCAAGAGCCCTTTAGGAGAGGTCCTGCCGGTCCCAGGCTGCCTGACTGGTGGAAGCAGTGTGCTGGGAACTAGGGTCTCAGGAAGGGATTCGAGCCGGTGCTGGGCGGTGGTTGAGGAAAGAGGGGGCATCTTTTCCTTAAAGGGTAGCCACCTTTGCCCAGTTGGTGTGGGCCAGTGAAGCGTAGGAGAGGATGAGGGTCTGCTTGTCGCATTCCTGGTGAGTCCGCTGGGATATGCTGTTGGCTGAAGTGTCCCAAGATTCTAAGAGGAGCCTTTCACCTTTCGGATACCACTAGCCAGGAACTAACTCCGACAGGCTTCTCTCCCTCACGCTCTCTCCTTCCTTTATCCTACCTTCATTGCCTTTTTTTTTTTTTTTTTTTTTTTTAACATCCCATTAGGACACATGCCCACTCCTTGGTGCCAGTGGATTTGGTCTTAAAAGGGCAGGCATGATGATGTATTTCCATGGGTCTTGTTTGCTTTAGCAGTGGGCACCCTGGCGAGGGCAGTGCTGCCAAGAGGATGGGTAATCCCCTGCAAAGAGAAGGAAAGGGGAGGAGCTGCAGGAAGGAGATGGATGGGCTTTGATGGAAGGTCTAGGCTTTGGGCTGAGAGAGGGCAGAGGATTTCTTTTTAATTTAATTACGGCCTCCTCTGGATAATTCGTTTAGGCAGACATCTGATAATGCCTTCTTGTCTGAGGAAGGCCTAGAGGCTGGGCAGGTAGGGGGTGGCTTGGGGAGGTATGGCAGTGCCAGTTAAGATCTTGGGCTCTATTGGCTAGCCTCCCTCACTGGTTTGCCACCCTGGCATGGGACTTAGTGCCTGCCTTAAGGGACTGCAGGGAGGATTAAATGAGGTCAGGCATGTAGGTGCTTAGCAGTGAGTCTGGCCCTGATGAGTGCTCATAAATGACAGCTATTATAGGAGTATTTAGGGGGCACCTGGGAGAGAAGGACAGTTTTCTCTGGTCAGATTTGTGGACATAAGAATTGTCCAAACTTGTAGAGAATTTAAAAAAATAAAATTATATATATAATTTCAGAGAAGAAGGGAGAAGGATAGAGAGATAGAAACATCAATGATGAGAGAGAATCATTGATAGGGAACCTCCTGCATGTCCCACAATGGGGATTGAGCCTTCAACCCGGGCATGTACCCTGATCGGGAATCAAACCATGACCTCCTGGTTCATACATAGGTTGAACCATGCTGGCCAGGCAGTCCTATAGAGAATTTTTATGAGTTTACTTGGGCCAAACTGGCAACATATGCCAGGGAAGCAAGTTCTCAGATGGTCCTGAGAATAACAGTATTATAGTTTCTTTAATGCATTTGAAATTAAGGAAGAAATGTAAAGGAGATTATATGAAGGTGGGAAAAAGTAAGGTGGGGATTAGATTATAGGTTAAGGTTATGTGCATTCTTCTTTTCTTTTTTAATATATTTTATTTATTTTTTACAGAGAGGAAGAGAGAGGGATAGAGAGTCAGAAACATCAATGGAGAGAATCATCCATCAGCTGCCTCTTGCACACCCCCTACTGGGGATGTGCCCGCAACCAAGGTACATGCCCTAGACTGGAATCGAACCCTGGACCTTTCAGTCTGCAGGCCGACACTCTGTCCACTGAGCCAAACCGGTTCCAGCGTTATGTGCATTCTTGAGGGTGGTCATGTCTTAGAAGGAGGTCCTAAAAGGGTGGGCATATACTAGAAGGAGGGGCATTTCAAAGATGTGTAACCTGTATGTATAGAAGCAATGTACAGGACTTGAGCCTAAGATAAGCCTTTAGAAAGAAGTTATATACCTATATATAGGGGTGTGACTACCTAACATGACTTGCCTAGTTAGGAATTTATGATTAGATTATCCTGTGAGGTTGCTTTTCATATAATCCTTTTTTTTTTTTTTTTTCATCCACAGATTTCAGACATTTGTGAGGGTGGGTTGGGAGAAGCAAGATCTCTGGGAAGGCTAACATCTGGATCTCTCTCTTGGTTTAAAAAATAAATTTTAAGGGGCTAGGATGGGAGGGTGTAGGGTAAAGATAAGGTCCCTTGGATTTTTATTCTCCGGTTGTAGAATAACCAAAGAAGGTTTTTAGAAACATTGTGGGAAGGGTCAGGTAGTTGCATTTCAGAAGGGATAGAATGTATTTCTTTTGGCAAAAGAGACACCAAATACCATATCTAACTAGACTATAAAGGCAAAATAATCTATGATTTCCAAAAAATACTCTACCGTTTCTTTCTGTTCTGGGTCTGTATGTTCAGGGAAATCTTATTTCCCCATATTTTTAGGAAATTGGAGTTAACTTGTATTTGGGGGTGTGTGTTTATAAGAATTATGCTTACCCAAAGATCCTGGTATGTCTTTTTAAAGATGAAAGGGCACATGGAAGGGAAGGGGATACAGTCAGAGGCTTGGAGATACTTTTTTTTAATCTTGTTTCCTTGGTAGGAGCTTGGGGCTCAGCCGTGGGGAACTGGCCCAAGGCAACCACTCCTCACTCGTGGGGAAGTGTGCGGACTTCTCCTCTTAGCACGGCCAATCACGAGGCGCTGGGATTGCACTCACACTTCCTCTAATCTCAACGCTGAACAACCCTTCGGAGTAGAGTCACGTGGTGCAATCCTCCTGCCTTTCTGGTTTGGGGTGAGAGAGAATTGGGCTGGGGTAGGGCCCTTCCCAGCCACGGCCCGGCCTTATCAGGGCTAATTTGCTAGGGGGCAGTTTCCCCGGGGCTTCAGAGCCATGCCCAGCTGCCAGGCCTTTGTTCTGTTCCTTGTCAAAGGAGATTCCTGAGGGAGCGCCTTCCTTATCTCGGAAAGTGCTGAGCCCAGAGCTCCTCGCTGCTCTTTTTTTTTTTTTTTTTTTTTTTCCAGGGGTGAGGGGGCCAGTGAACCTTGGACCCAGACAGTTGCTTAATCCTCCTCTCCCCCGCCCTGCCCTCATCCCCTCCTCCCTTCTTGACTTCTTGATTTGACTTAAGTCCTCCGTAAGCACTGGGCCGGCCATTCCTTTCACTGCTGGCTGAGGAAGGGGAGTGGTCAGAGCACACAGCTCCTGGCCTCCTCTGGCTGCTGCCTCCGCAGGAACCTGCGTATACCTCTGGCCAGGTAGTGCGTGCTGCCCACTCTCTCTTTCAGCGCCGCTCCCTGGCCCCCAGGCCCCTTTGCTGCTGCGCAGGATCTGGCCACTGGCTCTCCCCAGTGCCTCTTGCCCTAGTATCTCTCCACTCGCTTGGCCAGCCTAGCCTCTTTCTCTCAGCTGTCTCCTGCTTTGCGGTGCCGGCATCAGCTGCCCCCCTGTTTCTTAGCCTTGGCTTCCGGTGCTGTATCTCCAGGGAAGGGAGCGGTCATCAGCTGACTCCAATCGTCTCTAGGTTGGGATCACCCTTTTCCCATTCATACTGTTTGGGGTGATGCACCCTGTGCTGATGGGAGGGCTCGGTGGCAGGGGATCTAAAACACGGGCTGGGAAAGGTATCTAGGGAAAGAGAATAGCCTGTCTTTCAGGGTAGGGTGAGGCTGCTGGGACTTCACCTACGCAGGTGATGGTTGTGGGTTTCCAGCAAGAGATCACCGAAGCCTTTATGTTTGTCAGAGCTAGAATCCTTGGGGAGGAAGATGGGGAAAGAGCAGTGTTGTCAGGAGAACCCATAGATTATTTGCTTGCAAGGTTGGTTCCTCGTGTTGCATCTCAGCACGGGTGAGAGGTGAGTCTGAAATGGGAGGCAAGGCAGACCTTTTTGAGGTAAGGCTGGAAAATGCCAGCTCAAATCACTGTGCTTACACCCAGTAACTGCCAGATGATTGCCCTCATGCCTGCCTCCTGTCACAGCAGGCTCTGATAGAACCAGGACTCAGCTTTCTATTGTGTAAGTCAGGTAGGCAGCACTAGCCTCACGGTCATCTCTCTGGGGAATGATTCACGTTGGAGTTGTTTTGATGAGCCAGAGCTCCCACGAGAAGAAGAGTTTCATGGGTGGAAGCCGAGAGAGGTCTCTGCCCTGGTAGGTGGAGGTGGCTGCCCATCCTGGCCCCTACAGGGGAGCATTCCATGGAATTGCCAACCACCTGATGTATATCTTCACCATTCTTCCTTAGAGGGCCATGCCAGGAAGTTGGTGAAGCCTCTTCTCCGCCTCCGCCATGGTGAACGGTGTGAAGTATGAAGTGGCCTCCCAGCACACAGGGGATGCCTCCCCTTTGGCGGAGGAGGCCCACCCAGGATCCGAGCAGGTGACACTGAAGAAGGAGATCTCGCTGCTGAACGGCGTGAGCCTGATTGTGGGGAACATGATCGGCTCGGGCATCTTTGTGTCCCCTAAGGGCGTGCTCATGTATAGTACCTCCTTTGGCCTCTCCCTGGTCATCTGGGCCGTTGGGGGCATCTTCTCTGTCTTTGGGGCCCTCTGCTACGCGGAACTGGGCACCACCATTAAGAAGTCTGGGGCCAGCTATGCCTACATCCTCGAGGCCTTCGGGGGACTCCCTGCCTTCATCCGACTCTGGACCTCCCTCCTCATCATCGAGCCCACCAGCCAGGCCATCATCGCCATCACCTTTGCCAACTACATGGTGCAGCCCTTCTTCCCCAGCTGCTTTGCCCCCTATGCTGCTGGCCGCCTGCTGGCAGCTGCCTGCATCTGTAAGTGGGGCTGGGGCAGGAGGTGTTGAGGGGAGCGCCAGGGCGGAGGCCTGGATGTGAGTAGCCAGTGAGAAGGAGACGGGAAGAAATGCATACCCCTGGAAATGCTTTTATTTAAAAAAAATTTTTTTTTATGTATGCTTTGTGTGAAAATTCGAACAGTGCCAAAGTGTAAAAACCCACCAGTTTACCTTTTGCCCAGCTGCCCATAGTAAGCATCATTAGCAGTTTGTGTGCCCTTCCTGATTTTTTTCTTGCTCCTCCAGATGTAGTTTTGTTTTATGGTTTACAAAAAGGGATCATAGTCCACAAATAATTCTACAGTGTGCCTTTCTCCAGGAATTTATTGGTGACATTCTTTTCTATTTATAGATCTACTTAAAAAAAATGCTTCATGTTATTCCATATTAATTTTAAGAATAGGTCCTCGGTTAATGGCCATTTAAGTTGGTTCCAACTCTTTCAGTCTTACAGAGAATGCTCCAGTGAATATCTTTTTGCACTTGTGTGAGTTTTGCTGTTGGCTAGATTATTAAAGCTATTATAGATGATATGGTAGGTTGACTTACTGGTGAAACTAATTTTAGGATATGCTGTTCTTGGGGACCCCTCTGATGTAGGTAGATAGTCACATGAATTGTGTAGAGCAAGGATTATTCCATCTAAGTAAAATTTCTAAGAAAGCTGCATTCCTTTAAACACCAGAATTCTCTTATTCAACCATCTTTGTTGAAATATCTTTAAAAGCAGAGCTATGTATGCTTTGGCTTACTAACTGGACATTTCTTTTGGTGACTTGGGATTACTATTGCCTGTCTCAGTTCTTGTATGATTATGAGGCCTTCCCAGGCCAGCAGCGTGGGAAAGGGGTGGGGATAAACGCTTGCTCCTCAGTGGCCTTACACTGGGGGACTAACTTCAGTTCATTAGGTTTTATTCTTTTCTGATTTTTCTCTGTCATCTCTGATAGTTGTCATTCCTTGATTCTGTCATTGTGCCTACTTCCATCAGTCATCTCCTTTTTAATTTGCTGTTTCCAATTTGGGCATGGAGGTGTACTCAAACTCTTGTACACCTACATACATGCACACGCACACTCTTGTACAGATATATGCAAAGTAGCCACAATTATCATTAGTTTGCAGAGCTCCTAGTGAATAAAAGACAGAGTTTTGTGCATGGATTGATGACATGTATTTGAGACAGCTCTGGTAGAGTGAAGCGTGCATCAGGCTTTGTTTGAGCCTGGACTCAGTAACTGGGGACCTTACGCAAAGTGCAATGATTGTTCACTTCCAGGCTCCGGCAAGAATGAAATCAGATTCAGTGAAAACCATAAATCATGACTTCAATGTTACATAAATTATTGTATTTAAAATTAGTATATCTCTTGGTTGCTTATAGGACTTTGTCCTATTTCTAGTAATGTCAGAGGCACAGAGATCTGGGAGAAGGTCAGAAGGACAACCAAGATTGTAAGAATTTAAGGACGTGAGTTTCTCCCTGCAACTATTGCATAGTGAGTACCCAGGACAAGTCAGATGCTGAGACTTCTGAGGACCTTCTGCCCAGATATGGCCTATGCAATAATATTTCTATTTATCCATAATCATGCAGGAGGAAACCAAGAAGGAGAAAACCAAGAGGGAGACAGACATGCTAACAAATAATTGTCATGCGAGATAATAGGTGTAGTGATAAAGGGACCAGAGGAGCATGCAGGGCAACTTTCTTCTTCTTAGGAAGGCATCATAGAGACTACAATGTCTGAGCTGAATTTTGAAAAGATATGTAGCTGTCTTCTAGGACATTTCTCACAGGGGTAACTGCACTGAAAACGGTGTGGAGTGCCAAAAGGTACAGGCTGTTCAGAGAATTGCAGGTAGTTGGTAGAGCTGGAATGTGGAATAGGAGACAGGGGAGGAGATAAGGACTAGAAACACAGCCCAGGGTCAACTCAAGGAGGGTTTTATATGGTGCCTGAACAGGTTAGACTTTATTTTGGAAATGGTGGGGGGGGAGGGGAGCTGACAATTTTAAGAGAGGAAATACAATTTGCTTGGAGGAACTCTGGTGGACATGTGGAGAGTGTTTTTGGAAAGAGAGACAAGGTAGGGAGACCGGTTTAGGGAGCTGAAACCGAGTCCTTACGAAGTGTGGTGGAGGCCTGCCCTCTGGGCAGGGCCTTTGGAACTGAGATGAGGGAGTAGATACAGAAATCGTTATAAGGTGGAATTTCTAGGACTTCTGGATATGGGGGTGTGTAGGAGCTCTTTGAGGTGATGTTAAGGATTCAAGCTTGGGCAGATGGAAGGTGATGGGTTGCCATATGAAATAGAGAAGGTGGTGATGAGGGGGTATCTGGGGCTTTTTTTTTTTTTTTTTTTTTAAATATAGTTTATTGATTTTTTTACAGAAAGGAAGAGAGAGGGATAGAGAGCTAGAAACATCGATGAGAAAGAAACATCAACCAGCTGCCTCCTGCACCCCCCCCCACTGGGTACACAACCAAGATACATGCCCTTGACTGGAATCGAACCTGGGACCTTTCAGTCCGCAGGCCAACTCTCTATCCACTGAGCCAAACTGGTTTCAGCTGGGGCTTCTGTAGGGCTGCTCAGGAGGCCCTTCCACGAGCAGTGCCTTCCTCGGGTCATCATGACCCAGAGTTGATCATTTTCTCATCAATTGAGTCTCACCCAGAAAAGAGGCTGGTGTATATAAATGATAATGTTTATTAAATGTACAATGCTGAGCATACACATGTAATTTCTACATTCCAGAGGGCATGTGTTTACTATCAAGGCATGTGGAGGGTATATAGCACATGGTATTCCTTTCTAGTACCATGGCCACTGGGAAACCAATCTGGCAATTGGGGAGTTACTTGCAGGGCATGAAATGAGAATGAAGGAAGAATGTTTCGACTATTCAGAAACAATTTACTGCTTGTGATGGGGCCCATAAAACATGGAGCAGAAAGAAAGGTAGAGCTCCTGCTGTTAGGGAACTCATCATGTGGTGGAGACTGGCAAAAGTAGTAAATTAAACATATTGTATATGTAAGTGCTAGGAGTAGGGTGGCGTGTAGCTTATTTAGGAAGAGATTTCTGCACTTGGCACTGAAGGATGAAAAGGAGTCAGGGGGTGGGAGAAACACCCACTTAGCATGACCTTCAAGGCCCACTTCATCTGATTTCTTTGACTCATCCCAGACTTCTCCCATCCCTCTCTCTGCTCTGGCTATACTGTTTGTCTTGATTTTCTCTCTCTTTAAAAAAAAAAATACAAAAACACACACACACACATTTTATTGCTTCCAGAGAGGAAGGGAGAGAGAGAGAGAGGGAGAGAAAAATCAATGGTGAGAATCACTGATAGGCTGTCTCCTGCATATCCTCTACTGGGGATTGAGCCCTTGACTGGAATCAAACCTGGGACCCTTCAGTCCACAGGCTGATGCTCTATCCACTGAGCCAAATCAGCCACGGGCTGTCTTGATTTTCTTTCAATTTTCCTGGCTTGTTCTGCTTTAGGGATCTTGTATTTGGGGAACAATTTTTGTTCCTTTTGAAATATACCCTCAGAATGTATTACTTCACCCCATTCATATCTTTGCACAAATATTACCTTATCAGAGATCTATCCTATTTAAAGTTATGGATCTCAGTCTTTCACTTGATTTTTTGGGTCAGTCCTCACCTGAGGATATTTTTACATTGATTTTTATATAGAGTGGAAGGGACAGAGAGAGAGGGGAAGGAGAGAGAGAGAAAAAGAGAAACATCGATGTGAGAGCAAAGTACCATTAGCTGATTCCTGAGCAAACCTGGGCATGCTCCCTGACTGGGAATTGAACCAGCAACCTTTCAGCACAGGGAAGGACACCCAATCACCTGAGCCACACAGGTAGGGCTATCCTTCCCTCTTGAATGTAAACATCATAAGAGTAGGGACTTTGTTTTGCTCACTGCTGAATCTCTGGCACTTAGTAACAGTGTCTGTTGTCTGGAAGGTACTCAATAAATATCTATTGATGAGGAAACAGCAAGGATATTCTAGATACAGAGAAAGGCCATGTAAAGGCACAAAGGTGATAAGAATGGAGTGTGGGGTGTTTGTGGAGGATTTTGGGATTTGAGGGATCAAGGGAAGGCAAGGGGCTAACGCTTGAGACAAACCTTGCTAGAGGGTTTAGATTTTATTTTAAAGCATCTGAGGAGCCATTGAAGGGTTCGAAGCAGGGGGCCATGTAGCTGGGTTGGGACAGAAGAGCAAGGCTGAAGGCAGAGACCCTGATAGGAAGCTCTCCTGGAAATACAGGCAGGAAATGACAAAAGCCTGAATTAGGACAATGGCAGAGGGGGTATGGCTTATTCAGGAGATGTTGTTTCCGGGAAAGGACAGATGGGAGAGTGATTTAGTATTTTTATTATTATTATTATTTTAAAAATATATTGTTATTGATTTTAGAGAGAAAGAGAGAGGGAGAGGGAGAGAGAAACATTAATGATGAGAGAGAATCATTGATCGGCAGCCTCTTGCATGTCCCCTATTGGGGATCGAGCCAACAACCCTGGCATATACCCTTGACTAGAACTGAACCTGAGACTCTTCAGTCCCCAGGCCAACACTCTATCCACTGTGCAAAACCAGTCAGGGCTGGGAGAATGATTTAGAAGTTATAATCAGTATAACCAATAACATTTATTGGGTTGTCTGGCATAAGGAAGAGGTAGGTGATGTTCACCAGCTTGTAAGCTCTGTGCCATATAAAGTGTGAGCCTGTCTTATGATCCACTGTATCCCCAGCAAAGAAACAAAGAGAGGAACTCAATAAATGTTCCCTGAATGAAGAGATGTGGTTTTTGGCTTGGGCAATCAGTAGGTGCTGGCATAATTTACAAGGAGAGGGATGCAAAGATGTTGAATTTGAAATTTATTTGTAAGATAGTAGGCAGATGTGCCTATTTGGAGCTCAAGAAAGAGATGGGGCTAGA